ACTGGAAATGGGTAAGAAGGTGAGAATGAGCTCCAGGGAGCCCAGACAGGAAGAATGGGCTGCAGACTCAAGGCATGCACAGCTACTGGGAGTGCTAGCCAGTGTTTTCTTAACATTTTTTATAAATACGGTGTGTGCCTCAGTTTCTCTGTACTGCACATTTACCAAAATGGATGGAAGAGTGGGTTAATATTTGTATAGATCCAGAAGTCCAGACTTGAATGTTTCCTGACTGCTTGGGCCTAGACAATGGCTGGACACTTTGGCTGGGAGAGGGGTGGGTTCACGTCTGCAAGAAGCCAGCCAGTTAAAATTATACAATCATAGAATTATAGGGTAGGAAGAGACCTCAGGAGGTCATCAAGTCCAACCCCCTGTTAGATAACCCCTGGACCAACCCCAACTAAATCATCCCAGCCAGGGGTCTGTCAAGCTGGGCCTTAAAAACCTCTAGTGATGGAGATTCCAACCCCGCTCTAGTTAGCACATTCCAGTGCTTCACCACCCTCCTTGTGAACTAGTTTCTAATAGTCAACTTAGACCCTCCCTCCACTGCAACTTGAGACCATTAGCTGAGAAAGATCAGGGAGTTGTGGGCAATCACAACCTCAACATGAGTCAGTAATACAATACTGTTTGGAAAAAGAATGCAATTTTAGGTTGCATTAATAGAAGCCTAGAGTCAAAGTCATGGGAGGTGATTGTACCACTCTGTTGGTGCCAGTTAGGTCTTAGCTGGAGTTGAGTGCCAAAGATGATCAAAGGGATAGTACATAAGCCACATGAATGAAGACTGATGGAAGTGGGTATGTTTATGTTGGAAAAAGAGGCGATTAAAGAGGGACATGATAGTGGTTTCATAGAATACTAGGACTGGAAGGGACCTCGAGAGGTAATTGAGTCCAGTTCCCTGCCCACATGGCAGAACCCAGTACTGTCTAGACCCTCCCCAATAGACATTTCTCTAACCTGCTCTTCAATATCTCCAGAGATGGAGATCCACAACCTCCCTGGGCAATTTATTCCAGTGTTAAACCACCCAAACAGTTCAGAACCTTTTCCTAATGTCCAACCTAAACCTCCCCTGCTGCAGTTTAAGCCCATTGCTTCTTGTTCTATCCCCAGAGGCCAGGAAGAACAAGTTTTTTCCCTCCTCCTTGTGACACCCTTTTAGATACCTGAAAACTGCTCTCATGTCCGCTCTCAATCTTCTCTTTTCCAAACTAAACAAGCCCGATTCTTTCAGTCTTCCTTCATAGATCATGTTTTCTAGACTAGGGGTCTCCAACCTTTTTATGCCCAAGATCACTTTTTAAATGTCAGAACAAGCCTAGATCTACCCCATCCTTCCCCCAAGACTCCACCCCTTTCTTGAAGCCCCGCTCTCTCTGTTCTCCTCCTCTCCATCACTTGCTATCCCTGGCCCTCATACACTCTCAGGCTATGGCTACACTGCTGCTTTTTTTAAAAATTCTGCAGGGAGAGGTTTTTCCAACATTTGGCCTGTCTAGACTGGGCCAAATGTCAGAAAAACCCTCTTCTTACAGAAGCCCCCTTATTCCTCGTGGAATGGGGAATACAGAGGTTGCCGAAAGAGCGTGTTTGCTTTTCTGCTAAAGAAAGGGGGAAGAACAAACACATCCCTGGATTCAGAAGAGTTCTTCTGGGATACCTCTGAAAAAAACTCCTGCAGTCCGTACCCTCACTGGGTTGAGACAGGAGGTGTGGGCTCTGGGGTGGGAATGAGGGATTTGTGTGTGGGAAGGGGTGAGAGGTGCAAGCTTTGGGAGGGAATTTGGATGCAGGAGGAGGTGGAGAAGGGGATGCTGGCTTGGGGAGGAGGCTTCGGCCTGAGGAGTGTTGGGGTCCGGTGAAGTGTTGGGGTACTGAGCAAGCCACAGGCTTGTGGATGTGAGAATGCAGGAGTTTGGGTTGGGGGATGGGAGGAGCTCAGGGCAGGAAGGTTAGGGGCATATGGTGCAGAAGTGTTGTGGCAGAAGACTGAGGATGTGGGGGGTGCAGGAGTTTGGGGATGAGAGGCTCAGGACAGGGGGTTCCAGTGTACAATAAGCTCAGATTTGGGGCTGAGGGTGTTACAGGAGTGTTACTATTCTGCAGCCAGATGAGGGTTTGTTGGCCGGGCTTCATTTTTAAATAAAATTTGTCAAACATAAAGTTTCAGCGTTGTCTTTACTTATGAGAGGGGCGGGGAACCTGTTTTGAGTCAGGGATCACTGACCCCAGAAAAGTCAGTTGGGGCCACACAGGTGAGATGCCCCAAAAAAACAACCAACCATCACACCACCCTGCTCCAAAACCCCCCAAGCCTCATCACTGTGGCCCCAACTGTGCTGATGGGAGCAGGGGACAGAGTACTGGGGAAGGGTGGTTAGGACGGGGTTCCAGTGGGGGCAGGTGCCAGTGGGTGCTGAAGCAGGGGACAGGATGTTGGTGGGGGTAGGGGACAGGCTGATGGGGCAGGTAGCAGGCTGCCAGTGGGTGCTGTGGCAGGGGACAGGGTGTTGGTGGGGGCAGGGAACAGGGAGTCCCTGGCACTTGTCTCCTCTGAGGACTGCTCCCCCCACAGGGGAAGCAGGTCTCGGCACTTGCCTGCTCCGGGGACTCCTACTCCCTCCTTCTCACAAAGGAAGCTCGTCCTGGCACTTGCCTGCTCCAGGGATTTCTATCACTGCTCCCCCCCCCCACCACCGTCCCTGGCGCACACCTCCTCGAGGGAGTACTACCCCATCCCCGTCCCCCATCGCACAGGAAGTCCCCGGCATGCCACAGATCTTGGTCTGGTACCGCACCGGCTGTTTGGTGAGGGGGAGCAGCCAGTGCACTCCCTGAAACCCTGGAAGTGGCGTGCAGCCGTGGCACTTCCGTCCACCCTGCAGGAAGCCGGCACTACCTCCATTGTCGCTGAAGGTAGGCAGTGGGGAAAAATGGGGGGACCCCAAATGCCTCGCGGTCGACAGGTCGGTGACCACGGCTCCAGACCTTTAATCATTCTTGTTGCTCTTCTCTGGACCTTCTCCAATTTCTCCACATCTTTCTTGAAATGCGGTGCCCAGAACTGGACACAATACTCCAACTGAGGCCTGACCAGCGCAGAGTAGAGTGGAAAAATGACTTCTCCTGTCTTGCTCACAACACACCTGTTAATGCTTCCTAGAATCATGTTTGCTTTTTTTGCAACAGCGTCACACTGTTGACTCCTATTTAGCTTGTGGTCCACTATAACCCCTAGATCCCTTTGTGCCGTACTCCTTCCTAGACAGTCACTTCCCATTCTGTATGTGTGAAACTGATTGTTCCTTCCTAAGTGGAGCACTTTGCATTTATCCTTATTTCAAATACTTGAAAGGGTGCAATAAAAAAGATGGAGAAAAGTTTCTCTCTCTGGACATAGAGGGCAGGACAAGAAGCAGTGGGTTTAAACTACAGCACAGCAGATTCAGATTGAATCTTAGGAAAAAATAGTAGGACAATGGAACAGATGCCTAGAGAAGTTGTGGAAGCTCCTTTGCTGGAGGTTTTCGAAAGAAGGCTGGACAGCCATCTATTTGGGATGGTTTAGACACAGCAAATACTGCATCTTTGCAGGGGGTTCTACTAACTAGATCAGGGCTACTCAACTTTGGAAGCTCCGGGGGCCACAAATGATACCCACAGCATATGCCGAGGGCTGCAACTTAAGCGCAGCTGCATATATATGCAATTATTTATGCAAATATATTCAACTAGATCCTTTCACAGTGATGGGCACAATTACAAAGATTAAGGCAAGACTGCACAACACACAGGCCCCATTGAAGTCAGTTCTGCTGATAATAATAAAATTCAGTATTTACCCAATTTCCACCCATATGACAGCACTTTTAATGAGCAATGACAGTTCAGCAACTTAACTACTAAAACACATCTCTACAGAAGACCATTCTATTGATTACTTTTTAACAAATCAAACAAAAACTATCAATACAATATTTACAGAAATAGCCCCTCTCCTACCCTAATGTCAGGCACCCCAGCCCACCACTTTATCCCAATGCACCCTCTCCTTCCCCAGAGCCAGGCACCCCAAGATCCCCCAAACCAAATCCCTCTCCCACAGACCCAGGCACTGGAGATATGGGACACCCTACCTTTAAAGTGGCTGCTTCTGCCGCCCGGCCCAGCCACCTTGGAGACTTGATTGTAGTTTGCATGTGGCCTGCCAGGCGCTCCCAGCTCACCGTAATGCGTGATGCTGTGGGCTCCGCTCCCACCCAGCCCGGTGCTCCCCCTCATGTGGTGCCCAGGGGCAACTGTCCCCCTCCTCCCTACACCTCTGCTCGTGCACACGCAGCTGTAGCTTTTATCAGAGCCATGCTGAACGGCTCTGCTTGTGGGGAGGCTCCACCGACTCTTGCTGCCCCTCTCCCCTGCCAGCCGGTAGCAATGAGGCAGGTAGGCGGCCCGGGAAGTGGCTCAAGGCACCGTGGGCCGCATGCAAAGGGGCCTCAGGCTGCATGATGAGTAGCCTTGAACTAGATGATCCCAGCAATCCAGTCAAACCCTATGATTCTACATCTCTGAGAAGAAAAGCTCTTAGAAAACGTCTCTGTTAAATAAAAAGTCACAGCCTTTACCACAGTGATGTGACTACCTCTAGTCTCATCTTCCCTGTATCCAACTTTAATTGCATCCATTGTTCTAGTCGAGGCAGTGCCGGACACAAGGCCAGGATATTCAGTTTAGGCCTTACTGTGGAAAACTTAGTGGGGGAAGCAGCAAGTTGATGCAAGCAGATTGTGGAAGAGGAAGTCAAGGTCTGAAGGGTGGGGAGGTACGAGATGGCTGGGGACAGCGGCAGATAAAGTGCAGGAATAAGCCGAGGCCTGGCAGACCCCACCAGCTATTTAAGCTTTAAGCCAGCAGAGGGCAGGGAAGTGGGACCCTTGCACACCTTCCCCGGCTCCAGCCCACGGGCCGCAGAACTGCCCCAGCCTCCTTACCTCCTCCAGGCTGCAAATGGTGCCTCGGCACTTGCCCATGTGGCTGGTGAAAGAGGAGGTGGTTGGGGAGCTCAGGTCCTCCAGAGTCTGGGAGATGAAGTCTTGGACAGAGATGAGCTCTGGCATCCTGACAGGCATGTGCAGGGTGCTGCAGGAGGGTGGTAAGGGCTGTCCAGCAGGAGTGGAGTGTCTGGCTCCAGGAAGGGGAACTGCTGAGACTGTAAGGAAGTGACTAGGGCAGCTGCTTTGTGCAGGGAGAGTGAAAGACACACAAGAGCAAATCTGCTGGCCCACCCCAGCCTCATGCCAGAGCTGTCACCTTGCCCTACCCCACCATCCCCACAGCCCGGCGCTGCTCCCAACCCACCCATCACATCCCCGAGACATACTCACCCATGGAGCTGTCCTATGATCCCCCATCAGAGTCATGCATTACCCAGAGCTTTCCTCTCCCAGCACCCTCATTCATCCACACATATACACCAAGGGCCTGCCCCCCCTTTCTGACTCAACCACCACCCCAGGCTGCCCCCATATCCAATCCCTTCCAAGATACCCTCTGCTCCCCAAAGGGCTACCTGTGACCCCCATCCTTACTCAGACATACACCTGCCTTCACAGCCCAATTCTTTCCAGACACCCCACATAGATATGCTACCCCCATCATACCCTAGAGATGCCCCCAATCCCCTCCAACCCAAAGTGCCCCCCAGCCATCCAAGATACCCCTGAAGCTGCCCCCATCCCATGCCAGGCACCCTGCACAGAGCTGCCTCCTGACACACAAAAAAACAAGATGCCCTCCATCCCATCCTAGATACACACAGCCCAGGAAGTGTCCCCTCAGCCCAGACCCCCCCCCAGAACTGCCCCCTCCACCTCCCCGCCCTGCCCCCCCCCCCCCCCACACATCCCCTGACAGCAGCCCACTGACCCATCCCTTCACAGATAGACCAGGCTGCCCTCCCAGTCAGACTCACTGAACTGTTCTTTCCTCCTACCCAGTTCTGTCCTCCATACCAGACACCACATGACAGGGGGGACGAGGCCCTGAGGCCCCTGCTGGAGGCTTTATGACCCCGCTAAAACATGCCCAGAAAAGGGCCTAGAGCAGTTGTGTGGAAAGCAGCCCAGCAGGCTGATATAAGAGGGCAGGACCAGTGCAGTGGTTCCTTGCTAGAGCTGGGGGACTCTGAGCAGTGCTTGGGTTGCCTGCTGGGAATGCATCAGGCAAGGCCCTGAGGGAAGAGAGAAAATGTGCTGGAGTAGGGGTGGGCAATCATTTTTGATTGGGGGGGACCACGCCAAGATTTTGGAAAGTGGACAAGGGCTGCACTCTTCCATGATATTAATGAAGATGTGGGGTCTGGAATGGAGGTTGGGTGCAGAAGGGAGCTTGGGGTAAGGGACTGGGGTGCAGGAGAGAGACGAGTCTGGGAGGGAGTTAGGGTGAAGCAGGCGGTTGTGACTAGGGCAGGGGACTGGAGTGCAGGGTCTGGGATGTGACCTAGGGTAGGAGGGGATTGTGATCTGGGGTAGGAGTTTGGGGTGCCAGATCTGGGAGGGGGCATGGGTGTAAGAGAAGGACAGAGGGTTTGGGTATGTTGGGGGGGGGAAGGGCCAGGATGCCAGAAGCAGGCTGTGGGCAAGAGACTTACTTGTCAGCTGCCAAACTAGCCTGCCTGCCTGCAGCGCTTTAAAATGTTTCCCAGCTAGCCTGCCTGCCTCTCCCGGGCTCATGAATAACTGAGCCCGGGAGAGGGGGCGTGATTCTTCTTAGCTGCCTGTTATTCTAACAAGCAGCTCGCATTGGCTGGTTTCTGCCAGAAACTGGCCAATAGGTATGTGCTGGAAGGCAGGGTGGCTCCTAAAACTTCCCCCCTCCCCTCCAGTTTCAAAACAGAACCGGAGCCCTTTTCTGTACAGCGTGGTGGGGCTGCGGGGCAAGCAGGGGAGACTGCTGCCTCTGCAAGCCGGATCTGGTGGCTTGGCGGGCCGTATTTTGCCCAGGCCTGCAGTAGAGAGATCCTCCAAGCAGGCTAGAGTGGTTGCAGGGGAAGCAGCCAATCAGGGCAAAGGCCATATAAAAGGAACTGCAGAACAGAGCAGAAGTTAGTTGCTGCGAGCAGCTCAAGGAGTGAAGAATGGATGACTGGCAGTTCCGCAGTGAACTCAGTGGAGAGCTCACAGCAAACAGAACAGAGCCCTGAGATAAGGGTGAAGATGGTGCAGGGCTATGAGGAAATGGCCCAGGAACTTAGCGCACAGCAGACATCTGTGATCTACAAGGTCCCTGGGCTGGGACCTGAAGTTGAGGGGAGCAGGTCACCTCCCAAACCCTCATCAGTCACTGGAGGAAGTGGCCTGGATCTTGAAGTATTCCGAGGATGGGAGGGGAGAAATTAGACTATTGTGACCCAGCTAAAGGGTTTGAGCTAGAAAGGCCTGAGAGGAAGAAGCCCTGGGGCACTGCTCTATTTCAGAGTGGGAATAAACTAAGAGATATTAGAGGGCACTGAGAGAGGCCCCTATTGGACTTGTACCCTGGAAGAGGGTTGTTTTATTTCACACAGACTGTGGGTGATTCAGCCGGAGGACTGAATCACCAAAGACCCACCATAAACAATAAGTGCAGGCATGCACACTCAGCCACAGGGTGCTTGTGAGAGGTGAGTGCAATCCTGTTACCGTATCATTAAATAAAAGGTAGTTTTGTAAAAATAAAATGCAAAACTGCTGGAAAAGATTGAAATATGTTTTGACATAGAAAGGAACTGAATCTCTCCCTCTTCCTGCCAGTCCAAGGTTGGTGCATGCCCAATGGCAGGAGTCAGATCTTTCACACACATTATTTGATCCTTCAGACCCACTAGTTCCCAGGGAGACCGGGGAATTGCTTGATTCACACAAGAGCAACGGGGGAGGAACCATGCTTAATCTTTTGGATAGATGATCATGACTTTCCATAACATAGTTTTCAGGGCTCATTGGAAGGTCTTGTTACCCAAAAATTCCCACTGGAGACCACTCAGGGTTACACTAGTATGAATTATTGATTGAGGAATTAACACTCCACTAAATGCACTATATGGTTAAAGTAAAGACGACAGAGCTGCCACTAAAGGTTTAAACTAAAGGGGAACTAGTTCTCTCTCTCACACACACATTCCCCTTCATTCATTCACACACATTCATTCCTGCCCTCAGACACTCGCACACTTACACAGGTATATGAGTTGCAGAAGGAGCCAAGGCATGTTGATTTTGGAGGGTCAGTCTGCTGATCATGGCTGGGGGGCTGGTCAGGAAAGAGAGCTTCTGCCACATGCTCTCTCCTTTTATTGCCTCTGTACAACTCCTGTGACTTATCCATATTAGTCACTAGGGGTATGTCTACACTACATAGTTAATTCGAACTAACGGACGTTAGTTCGAATTAACTTTGATAGGCGCTACACTAGTGCCCCGCTAGTTCGAACTTAATTCAAACTAGCGGAGCGCTTAGTTCGAACTAGGTAAACCTCATTCCACGAGGACTAAGCCTAGTTCGAACTTACTAGTTCGAATTAAGGGCTGTGTAGCCCCTTAATTCGAACTAGTGGGAGGCTAGCCCTCCCCAGGTTTCCCTGGTGGCCACTCTGGCCAACACCAGGGAAACTCTTATGCCCCCCTCCCGGCCCCAGACTCCTTAAAGGGGCACGGGCTGGTTACGGTGCCCGTGCTAGGTTCAAGCCTGCCAGCACCCAGCTAGCAGACCCTGCCCCTGGCACGGCTCGAGCCAGCCACCCGATGCCCCCCAGCCCTCCCCCTCTTCCTGAGACCAGGCTGGCGGCTCCCAGGAGCTTGCCCGGGACCGCAAGAGGCGGGCACCCCCCTGGTCTAGTGCGGACATCGTGGACCTTGTCCACGACCTCCACACTAGGCACAGGAAAGTGGCCGTCTAGGGCACAAGAGCTGCCAGCCTGGCCACCCAGGAGCAGGTGTGCATGAAAATCAAGGGGGTCCACTGAGACCCCCGACCCTGAGCTTACAATGGCCGTACTGGATCAGCCCAAAGGTCCATCTAGCCCAGTAGCCTGTCTGCCGACAGCGGCCAACCCTAGGAACCCTGGAGAGGATGGACCAAAGACAGTGACCAAGCCATTTGTCACGTGCCATCCCTCTCCGGCCTTCCACAAACTTTGGGCAGGGACACCACTCCTACCCCCTGGCTAATACCACTCCATGGACCCAACCTCCATCACTTTATCTCACTTCTCTTTAAACTCTGTTCTAGTTCTAGCCTTCACAGCCTCCTGCAGCAAGGAGTTCCATAGGTTGACTCTTTGCTTTGTGAAGAACAACTTTCTGTTGTTAGTTTGAAGCCTGCTACCCATTCATTTCCTTTGGTGTCCTCTAGTCCTTCTATTATGGGAACGAATGAAGAACTTTTCTTTATGCACCCTCTCCACACCACTCATGCTTTTATAGACCTCTATCATATCTCCCCTCAGCCTCCTCTTTTCTAAGCTGAAAAGTTCCAGTCTCTAGCCTCTCTTCATATGGGACCTGTTCCAAACCCCTGATCATGGTAGTTGCCCTCCTCTCTCCCCCCTTTCTCTTCCCCTCTCCCACCTCCTTTTCCCAGTCTCCCCCAGTTTTGTTCAATAAAGAGAGTTTCTATTTTTGACCACACCTGTCCTTTATTTTGTACATCAGGAAGGGGGGCTAGGGAGGGGTAAGTGGAAGGAGGTGAGGGAGGAATGGGGTACGAGCCCCCGATGGGGAGGACTGGGCTGGCTCTGCGGGCTCCTCGGGGTGGAAGCTCTCCTGAAGCCCCTTGATTGACCCCCCCCGCCCCCCGGATGGCAGCCTGCAGCAAGTCCAGCCGGTCTGATGGCCGAGTGCTGTGATGTGCCGAGTGTGGGCCCTCAGGGCACTCCAACTGCTTTGCAAGCGGGGAACCCCTGAGAACTGTCTGTCCGGGGTGGGGATCGGGTCCCTTTAAGCACAGCCCTCGGCTAGCCTGAGACAGCAGCTCCACGCTCTAAGTCCTAACCTGATGCCCTGCCGGCACTGCTTCCGGCCATCCTTAACCTCGGTTCAGGGTCCACTCAGTGTGGACATGCTAGTTCGAATTAGCAAAACGCTAATTCGAACTAGTTTTTAAGTCTGGATGTGCTAATTCAAATTAGTTAGTTCGAATTAGTGCTGTAGTGTAGACATACCCTAGGGAGCATGCCCAGACTTACCTTGATCAAGGTCTCAGAGCAGCAGTGTCTCCTTGATTGGTCCGATGACTCACCACATGGCTCAACATGCTCAGCCTTGCAGTTTGTAATCCCAAACACACAATAGTCTCCACTCACACACCCACATTCATATCTCAGGGGAGAATGAAGTTTAGAGCAAGTTACAAGCAGAGTGGATGAAAGTTACAAAAAGTTACAAAGTTGCAAGTTTTTACAAAGATTACAAGGAGTTGCAGAGTTTAAAAGGCAATGAAACTGAACCAATTACAACACTTCAGAGAATAATTTACAAATCATCAGTAATGAAGTGATTTAGAAGACAACTGCCCTCCTCCCCCACCCGCAATTCAGCCAGCAGGAGGTTTTTGTCAGTCTCTAAGTCATGTGTTGGCAGAACCATACAGTTTAGTGTATTTCCAGGAAATCCATGTATAAAATCAAGTAATGGCTCAGATGGAGGCTTTTATGCAACAGGTCTCAGCAAAGTGATGTAATCCTGTGGCAATCCCACACATCTTGCATTAGACAGTGAATTCTATTGCTTGTGGACCAAGGGAAAAATTGCATCTGAGTCAGACCCAACTAAGCACTTGGGACTTCTTCTTTGGCTACAGCTTGAGAAGTTATTCATCTCAGAGGAATGACTTCAGAACGGATAAGTAAGGGAGGAAGAACTCAATTATACTAGCACATCCTTAAGCTCTTCTGAAAAGATCTGTCATCCACTGCTAGAAAATGCACCTGCTCACTACTCTTCCACAGGGCAAAGACCATCTTCTTTGACCAAATCTAAGTATTAATTTAAAGAGTAAACTTGTAGCTCCAGCAGCTATGAAAAACCTTACAAACAGGATTTCAGAATAGAGCTATCTTAGAATCATAGAACTGGAAGAGACCTCAGAAGGTCATCAAGTCCAGCCCCCTGCTCTAGGCAGGACCAATTCCAACTAAATCAACCCAGCCAGGGCTTTGTCAAGCCGAGACTTAAACACCTCTAGGGATGGAGACTCCACTACTTCCGTAGGTAACCCATTCCAGTGCTTCACCACCCTCCTCGTGAAATAATTTTTCCTAATATCCAACCTGGACCTCTCCCACCACAACTTGAGACCATTGCTCCTTGTTCTGCCATCTGTCACTACTGAGAACAGCCTCTCTCCATCCTCTTTGGAAACTCCCTTCAGGAAGTTGAAGGCTGCTATCAAATCCCCCCCCACTCTTTGCTTCTGCAGACTAAACAGACCCGACTCCCTCAGCCTCTCCTCATAGGTCATGTGCTCCAGCCCCCTAATCATTTTGGTTGCCCTCTGCTGGACCCTCTCCAATGCGTCCACATCCTTTTTGTTGTGGGGGGCCCAGAACTGGACACAATACTCCAGATGCGGCCTCACCAAAGCTGAATAAATCTTCCCCAATGCCTGTCCACATAGGGATGTTGTACCACTGCAGTGTGTGGACACAGTTATATTGGCATAAACAGGGCATGCGCAGATCGCCTGAACCCGGCTCTTCCGGGTTGCAGTCTACTCGCCATGGGTGAGTAGATTGCATTATTTGTCGAGCTCTGGGCATAAATAAGATAGTTGCTCCCATACAGGAAAGGTATTAACTATGTCAACAGAACTATACCCACAATGCAGCTTATATCAGAATAATTATCTTAGTAAAAATAACCCCTAGCCAACAGCTCTACTGGTATAACTTTCAGATGTAGCCAGACCTTGCTGCCACTGCTTGTCACAGCTTTATATAAATTGCACCAGCAAGTCTCCAGTTTCCAGACTCCACCATTTCCACTTCAGCTATCTATTGTCTTCTGAAGCTATGTGTTTGGGGTTTGTTTTTCAGAGGTGCCTTAGCTGCTTTTTCCTATGAATAGTTTGTGGTACCTGTGTTTGTTGCCTGTGCTATAGGAGGGAAGCACAGGCACCAAACAGCTGACCCTTTTAGATACTTGAAAACTGCTATAATGTACGTAAAACATTCGTTTGTAGAGTTGGAGCAACAGGGAAAGAGGTTTTGATGAGGGGAAAAGAAGAAATGAAGAAAATAACCCTTTTTCATGGGGAATAAATTTATTGTAAAATCTGAAGATACATATCCCAATGGAGTGCTTACTAAAAAGGAAACAGCACAATAGCCCTTTGGGAGCAGTTCTCCTAGCAGCAGGAGGCAATCTCTGCGGCAGGGGAGTCCCTGTAACACAGCAACATTTTTGGGGCAGGCAGCAATGGTGCGCTTCAGTAAAGGAAAATTCCACCAGTCTCCTGCTGCCAGTCAACCCTAGAGCCTTTATTCATCTGGCCTCCAATCTCTGAGCCCTACCAGCTCCAGCCTCTGGTCCTGCTGGTACGTTTCCATGGTGAACACTACTGCCTACCTGTCCCTGTGCCTCTAACACAACCCCATGCCTATGAATTCACTTTGCACAACAGATCTCTGCTCTGAACTAGCCCCGCCACACACTCTGAGGACATTCCACAGGATACAGGCTGTGAAGAAAGGGAAATACCCATGCTCTGATTTGTTCCATACAGTGTTCCTGAGAACTAATATTCAGATGCAGCTATGAAAGCAGGCTAGACTCTGAGAGGGTATGGCCCATGCAAATGGAACGGTTGGCTCTTGAAGGGATAAACACCACCTTTTTCACTGCCAGATGCAACTCTTCTGCAAGATAGGCAAGTGTCTATTGTTCGTGGCACTTTTAGAAAAAGGCATTGTCAAACCATGTTTAGGATTGGACCTTGCACCTTGCTCCTGCTTTGACCCATTAGCTGAATGTTGATCGAAGACACTTCCTCCCTGCTACCTCAACTCATTCTGCTGGGCTGCTCTGGGTGTGGAATTCAGAGTGTGTTTCACAGAAGATTGGCCATCCCACTCTAGAGCCAGTAAGGCCAAGCTGTGGTTCAGGGATTCATCCAGCTTCCGCGTTTCTGCTTCTAGAACAGCAGCCTTGGGCTCCCTAGCCACAGCTGCTAAGGAGTGAGAGAGCTCCTGGTGCAGGCCTGACAGATCTTGGCTGGTCTTTGCACAGCACTTGATGTAGTCCTGCTTGTGCTTCCGCTCCAACACCAGCTGTGTTTGCAGGAAAGACACCTGAAAGAAGAGAAAGAAACCACAAACAAATCGGCCCACTCTGCAACATTCACCCGCAGAACCCGCAGCATTTCTGGATGAGCAGGACACAACAACTTCCCAGACCCATTACAAAGCACTGCCAATTGTACATAATATATGTGAGCCATCCAAGAGCAAACAACAGAATAACCCAGAGTGTCATCCCCACTGTCCACTCTGCACTTGGAATTTGAAAGAGGGGGATGGAGAAGCTGTCAAGGTTTACAGGTATGAGAGGCACAAGCAGGAGAAATAAGGCAAGGTCTTGAGGTATTAACAACTCACAACTTTCCTTAAGCATAGATGCTGTATTTCAGCAATAAGACATTACATGTGGAATGAAGGCTACAGAAAAATGACACATGGTACAATTGCCAAGTACCTAAGCAATGCAATTTCAAAGGATATATTACTTTGGAAAATAGGATTTGGACTAGGGATGTGAAGGACTAGTCAACTATCTGATAAGCAAACACTTATCGGATAGTCAACAGACCAGTCGATTAGTCTCCCCGCTCTCCCTTCTCGCCTCTATCAGAAAATGCAGCAGGGAGGGGGGGAATAGGAGGGGTACTTCACAGCGGCAGCACTGACTGGAGCTTGGGGCCAGACCCTGGGCTCCATGTGGCGCTGCCGCTTTGAAACACTGTGTGATGCCTGGGGCCAGCTGGGGTATCCCCAGGCTACACGTGGCATTTCAAAGCGGCAGCGCTGCGTGAAACCCAGGATCAGCTGGGGAGTCCCCTGCTGACCCGGGCTCCACGCAGCACTGCCACTTTGAAACGTCGCAGGGAGCTCGGTGTCGGGCTCCTCGCAGCATTTCAAGGCAGTGGCTCCACGTGGCGCTTTCACCTTTGAATTGTAGCAACAGCCCTTTAAAGGAGGAGGTGCCCTATCGACTAATCAAATAGTCTATGCAAAATGCATCAACTATTCAATTAGTCGATATTTAATATTCCTAACTTAGACTCCTACACCACGTAAATGTGTCTGAACACATTCCTTGTTGTCTAGTATTTTTCAAGTGGTATGTAATACAGAGCTGCAAGCAAGGCCAGCACACATGGTGGCAGAGTATAGGCTGATAAACTTTAGCTTTCCAAACTTTTGAGTCTTTACTTGTGTGACTAGAGCACCACTTAGCAACAGAGCTCAGGGACAGCAACAGCTTTATGTCATCCTGACCTTCATGTAGCAGGATCCCAATCTGAACCCTGGTGGAAATCAGAACTTCAGGGCTTCTTTAACTTTGGTCTGTTTTCAGTGGCACTCTAGAAGTTCTTGTGCTGGCCAAGAATCACAGCAAGCTCCTGCCACACCCTCTCTTAAACCTGGCAAACCCTGTTTCCCAGGCTGCCGCTCTGTTGGTACAAGGAATCTTGCCCTTCAATTGGTCTGGAATACAACAGACACCAACACACTGATGCCACCGACAGCATCTCTCCTGAGTACTTGACGCGCACTGCCTCTTAGTGAATACAGGCTGGTCAAGGATTCTATCTTCCCCTTCAAAGCCCTCCAGGAGATAATCCCTTGTTCCTCTCACTGCAGACCGTGCCCTCCAACAATAGCTATTCCTCAGAACAATGCAACTATCAACCTCAGCAGCATGTGTTTTCTTGGAAGCTGAACCAAACCCATAAGACTAGCTTGCCCAAGAGATTAAAATGCCCACAAATCCTGCCTCCTTCGGAACACCCGTTGCCTGCAGCCGGGAGCTTGCCCTCAATAAAGGAGAAAACAGCTACAAACTGGAGGAGAAACACAGTGCCTGGTTATTTGAAGTCTAGTGGGAAAATCAGAATATCAGTGATAAATCAGTACCGTTCTCAAACGCTGCATAGGCCAGAATCATGTGTATACCTCATCATCAACTAAGCGGGATCCTGGTTGGGGACTGCTCCAGCCCACCTGTTGGGGTGGGCTGTTGAGTCCTGACCCCAACTGCCAGATGCATGGGGCTGACTTATGAGTTTTACTATTTTGCAAGAATGCTCTGTATGCCTCAGTTTCTCTGCATAGTGCCCCAAAGCCTAGATGGTAGAAACAGTATGTGGCTTTTGCTGAAACCCTCATGGCAGGTGAGGGGGCTTGAGCTGCCTGCACATAAGTTGTGCCTTTTGTAACCTGTGATCCAGGAGGGGGATCATGCAACCAGGTGACGTTGCTCAGGAAGCAAAGACAGACCAGAGAAGGGTAACAGGCGTGTCAGGGACCAGGCAGTTGGAAGCAGGTCAGTCTTGGATGGATAGGAGTGCAGGGTTTCCCCAAGATGTACTTGAAAGAATGTTCCTGTTTTCTAAGCTACCAAGATCTGTTCTACACTGAGTCTCTGTCAACTACTAAACCTTCTGTTCTACATGCTGGCTGAGACACATACTGGACTGCAGAGTTGGGTTGCAGGGCCCTTTGGTTTCCCCAGGAACTCAGCCCGGGTGGACTAGCTGCAGGAAGTGAACAGGGGTGCTGAATATTCAGAATTCAGACCCAGCAAAGCCGGTGCTGAGTAAACTTCTTGCCCTGGCGACAGAGAGGAGGTGCTGCACCAGAGTCCTGGCTGGGCTCTTAGGGGACAAGTCCAGAGCATTTTCCCTGTAGCTCCATGACAACCTTCAAAGCCTGCAGCCATGCCACACCAAGCGCACGAGTGCTACAGGTCCCCTCACAGCCTGGCCTTGCCCCACCCCCTGTGCTACTAGCCCCTCATAGTCCAGCCTTGTCCCCACCAGTGCTACCAACCTCCTCAGAGCGGTGCTCCACCTACTGGCCCTCTCACAGCTCTGCCTCACCCCCATTCTACCAGGCCCCTCACAGCTCAAGTGAACCAGTGTTATCAGTCTGCTCAGTCATGTCCCACTCCAACGTGACCAGCCCTATCACAGCCATGCCATGTGCCCCCATAGCCCCTCCACTCAGCACTCGTGCTACACCTCCCTCCCAGTGTTGACCCCCACGCACAGCACCCCAATGCTACAGCCCCTTCCTACATCAACTCCCCCAGCATTACAACCCCCTCCCAGAGGCACCCCCGCCCCGCTTGGCACTCCAGTGCTACAACCCCATCCCTGCTACAACCACAGTGCTGCAACTAGGGATGTGAGCGGGTAACTGCTTAAGTGGTAAGCATTACCCTTATTTGCTGACGTTTATCAGGTACTGGTTAAATGGTGCCTGGGAGCAGCCTGTTACCCACAGAGGACTGCCAGCGGCCGCTTCTTGGCCCTGGGGCCAGGAGCCTCCTGGTGCCAGCGGCAGCAGCAGCCCTAGCTCTGGGCCAGGGATCCTGGTTAATTGGTTAAACGTTAGGTTAACCTAACATTTAACCAATTAACTGATTAATTGGGATTTTACCTCCCTAGCTACATTCCCCTCCCAGCAGCATCCCCCCGTTCAACAACCGCAGTGCTACCACCCCATCACAGTGGTGTCTCCCCCCCGTTCAGCACCCTTGTGCTATTACCTTCTCTCAGCAGCTCCCCCAATTAGGCACCCTTGTACTACCCCCCAGCGAGTGGCACTCTTACTTGTTGCCTCAGCACCTGGTAGTTTTACCGCCATGCCATGCTTGGCGTGGGAGCCAAGTGCTTTGAGTGACCTCAAAGCTCTGCCCAGCAAAGCACTAACACCATTCACAGCTGCTCCTTTCCTGGCGCCGAGTTCCCTCAGTGCTGCTCCTCCCTGAGGCCTAGCACGGCACCCAGTGCTCCAGGGCCATGACACCCCTCAGAACCATGCCTTTCCCAACCCCCCATTTCTAGTTTCTACACTGCTGTGCCACACTGGTGCAGAGGTGACCATCTGGATGAAAGGTTTTCTACTCCTAACCTGCTTCTGCAACTCAGCAAGTCGCCTACGCAAAGTCCGGGCCTCCTCCTGGGAAGAAAATAAATTAAAAAAAAGGTGTTTAGTTCTCAGCTTTCTTGAGGCAGGACTAGACTAGAGCTAAGCCAGTACAAGCAGAATTTTGAGGAGCGATATGCTCAGTTCAGACCTGTCCTGAAGTCGGAGCCTTATTCTGCCCAGAGTCAATAATAGGATGTTCACAGGCATCTGACAGTGAGGGGTCAGGATGGCCCCTCTTCAGCCTCTTGCGCTCACACTCCACCTGCACACAGGACACACAGAAAAGGTCACAGCAGTTTGCCAGGGAGCAACAAGCTAACAATAGGACTGGTACCTATTTGGTAACTGGTGTTCTTCAAGATGTGTTGCTCATGTTCATTCCACTTTAGGGGTGTGTGCTTGCCACATGCATTGGTACTGGAAGTTTTGACCTCGGCAGTATCCAAAGGGGAGTGGCTTTGGCGACCCCTGGTGTGGCACCCTCTTAGCATGATATAAGAGGCACTACATGTATTCCCCTGAACCTCGGTTCCTTCTTGCCAGAAACTCCGAATTACCAAACAGGCAACTACCTCCATCTTTGAGTGCTTACTTGTGACCATTCCATATTAGGCAACGCTAAGCAGTACCCATGGGCTACGTCTACACTGGCCCCTTTTCCGGAAGGGGCATGGTAATTTTTGAGATCGTAATAGGGAAATCCGCGGGGGATTTAAATATCCCCCGCGGCATTTAAATAAAAATGTCTGCCGCTTTTTTCCGGCTTTTAGAAAAGCCGGAAAAGAGCGTCTACACTGGCCCCGATCCTCCGGAAAAAGCGCCCTTTTCCGGAGGATCTTATTCCTACTTCAAAGTATACTCCAGGTAAAAGGCAAAACCTCCAGATGTCCAGGATGTAAAGATGTGTCTCCTCTGCCAGCTTGTGAGGCTTGGGGCAGAACACAAGCTGGAATATGTCCCGCTTTCATAGCAGAAACCACCTTTAGCAGGAAAACTGAGTGAGGCCACAGTTGGACCCTGTCTTTGTAGAAGATTCCGTAAGATAGTTCAGAGCTCAGAGCCCTGATCTCCAGGACTCATCTCACCGACGTTGCTGCCACTAGGAATGTAAGCTTCCAGGACAAGTATGAAAGGGAACTGGATACCAGTGACTTGATGGGTGGCCCAGTGAGTCACTGAGAGACAAGGTAGATGCAGGTAGAGCCACTTGAGGGCCTTTAGGAATCTGTCTATCCTATCATAGGAGAACACAGTCTGCCCTTGGACCAGCTCATGGAATGTGGAGATGGCTGTAAGATGCACTCTGATGGAGGAATGCACCAGATTCTGATTTCTGAGCTGCAGCAGGTAGTCCAGTATAGATTGTGCTGTAGAACATGAGGGGAAGATACTGCGCTCCGACACCCAGTGGGAGAATCTCCTCCACTTGGCCGGGTACATGAGCCTCACAGTTGCCTTTCTGTTTTCTATAAGGACCTATTGGACTTCCTCCAAACAGATAGATTCCTCCAGGGCCAACCATGGAGCACCTATGCCAAGAGATGCAGAACTCAAGGGTGGGGTGCAGGAACAGACTGTGGTCTTGTCATAGCAGGTCTGGTTGGTTGGGAAGGGGCCAGGAAGGGCACATGTTCATGAGCATGCTGAACCAGTGTAGGTGAGGCCATACTGGGCAATCAAAATAACCCAAGTTTTGTCTCTTTTTTATCTTTACTCTACACATGTCCTGGATTGCTACATGTTCCAGGAAAACTGCTGAAGATGCCTGAGCCCTGATTGAAGGGCGTGGACAAACAGTGGCAGTGGGAACTTTGCGAGCTCATAGCAGGCTGTTTGCAAGAGGTGATCCAAATGGGAAATCATTGCTTTACTAGCACCCAAGGTTGAGTCAAGCACTGCTCTACTATCCTTTGAACCAGTACTAACATGGACTTTGTGTAGATGACTATGAAACGCAAGGACTGGCCTGCGGCTAGGAGGATTTCAGTGACATATTGTATCTGTGTTCTAGGGCTGCCTTTGACCAGCCAGTTATCGAGGTCTGGCTAAATCTGGATACCTCAGTGTCTGAAGTAGTCCATGACTCACACCATGCACTTGATAAAGACCCTTAGAGTAGTAACCAGGCCAAACAGGAGGACCATAAACTTGTAGGCTGTGTCTATGTCTAGACTGGCCACTTGAATTTCCGCAAAAGCACTGACTTCCTACTGTAAGAAATCAGTGCTTCTTGTGGAAATACTATGCTGCTCCCGTTCAGACAAAAGTCCTTTTGTGCAAAACTTTTGCACAAAAGGGCCAGTGCAGACAGCTCAGATTTGTTTTCCGCAAAAAAAGCCCCTATCACGAAAATGGCGATTGGGGCTTTTTTGCGGAAAAGCGCGTATAGATTGGCATGGACATTTTTCTGCAAAAAGTGCTTTTGCGGAAAAGCATACGTGCCAAACTAGACGCTCTTTTCCGAAAATGCTTTTAACGGAAAACTTTTCCGTTAAAAGCATTTCCGGAAAATCGTGCCAGTCTAGACACAGCTGTAGTGTGTGGAACCCACTATAAAATAAAATGGAATTTGATCTTTCTTAAGTATCACTGAGGTCTCACGGATTTGGGATGGGACAAAGGATTCCCTTGGCCTTCGGGATTAGGAAATTTCAGGAACAGACTGCCCTGTTTCAATACTCTGGCATAACTTCATCTATTGCCCTCGGTCACAGCCCCTACTGCACAAAGAGACACTCATGAGAAAGGTCCCTGAAAGAGGCAAAGAGAGGGAAGTGGGTGGAGGTGGAAAGGATCTGAGAGGTATAACCCTGTGAGATTCTGTTCAGGATCCAGCAGTCTGACACTATGGCAGAAAGAAAAGGTAGAGGTGGCTTCCAAACAAAGGGGAAACTGGTTCCACGGGAAAGTCCAGTGTGTCACCCTTGGGCACAACCTCAAAATGATTTCTTAGCTCCCTGCTTGAAAAGGGTCGAGGCCAATGGGCCCAAGGGGGGTGGTTGACTCAACTGGTGCTTGTAAGCCCCTGGTTTTTATGCAGGTGGCTCCTAATGCAATTGGCTCCCGAGTCAGAGGGTGTTGGGGCTGTAACCTTTTCCAGCCCAGGACAGGGACATATTGACTTACAATTTTTAGAGCGGCGTGGGAGTCCTTAAGCCTGTGTAGTTGGTTTTCATTTGCTTTGCAAACAGAGCATGTCCATCAAAAGGAAAGTCTTACATTGACTAGTGAGTCTCTGAAGACAGGTGGAAGAGGAGCAGCCAGGATGTCTAACACATTGCCAGAGGATGTTGTGAGAACCAGGACTTTGCCAGGGTTCAAAAAAGAACTAGAAAAATTCATGGAGGTTAGGCAATTCATGGCTATTAGCTAGCATTCGTAGGACTGGTGTCTCTAACCTCTGTTTGTTAGAGGCTGGGATGGAGAGGGACCACTTGATGATTACCTGTTCTGTTAATTCCCTCTAGGGCATCTGGCATTGGCCACTGTTAGAAGACAAAATACTGGGTTAGCTGGATCTTTGGTCTGACCCAATATGGCCATTCTTATGTACATAAGAACATAAGAATGGCTGTACTGGGTCAGACCAAAGGTCCATCTAGCCCAGTATCCTGTCTACCGACAGTGGCCAGCACCCGGGGTGCCGACAGTGGCCAGCACCAGGTGCCCCAGAGAGGGTGGACCAAAGATAATGATCAAGCGATTTGTCTCCTGCCATCCCTCTCCAGCCTCTGACAAACAGAGGCCAAGGACACCATTTTATCCCCTGGCTAATAGCCTTTTATGGACCTAACCTCCATTAATTTATCCAGCTTCTCTTTAAACTCTATTATAGTCCTAGCCTTCACAGCCTCCTCTGGCAAGGAGTTCCACAGGTTGACTACACGCTGTGTGAAGAAGAACTTTCTTTTATTAGTTTTAAATCTGCTACCCATTAATTTCATTTGGTGTCCTCTAGTTCTTCTATTTAGGGAACTAATAAATAACTTTTCTTTATCTGCCCTCTCCACACCACTCATGATTTTATAGACCTCTATCATATCCCCCCTCGGTCTCCTCTTTTCTAAACTGAAAAGTCCCAGTCGCTTTAACCTCTCCTCATATGGGAGCCGTTCCAAACCCCTAATCATTTTAGTTGCCCTTTTCTGAACCCTTTCCAAGGCCACAATATCTTTTTTGAGGTGAGGAGACCACATCTGTACACAGTATTCAAGATGTGGGCATACCATAATTTTATACAGGGGCAGTAAGATATTCTGGGTCCTATTTTCTATCCCTTTCCTAATAATTCCTAGCATCCTATTTGCCTTTTTGACCGCCGCTGCACACTGTGTGGAAGTTTTCAGAGAACTGTCCACGATAACTCCAAGATCTCTTTCCTGATTTGTCGTAGCCAAATTAGCCCCCATCATACTGTACATATAGTTGGGGTTATTTTTCCCGATGTGCATTACTTTACACTTATCCACATTAAATTTCATTTGTACTTATACATATAGCAGATGTCATTGTGTATTCTGCAGAGTTGCCACATCTAAAACCATACCAAGGGCCACTATAGCAGCAGTCATGCCCTACTCCAGAATCACCTTAATCTCTTGTCTGAAGCCATCAGAAAGTGATTCCTCAAATTTGGCTATGGTCTACCATTATTGTAGTGGCCAAGGAAGTCTTGGTGTTTGACCACCCACAACGGGAGGCCAGAGGATGAATAAATATTTCACACAAACAAATCTAATTTCTCAGAGTCTTTGTGCCTGCGAAGGGCCATGAATAATTGTACACCCACCACCAAAGAACAAAGTATTTCTGTTCAGCACTCTTAGAAAAGGGTAGTGAGGACAAGGGGGTTTGCAGAGGGCATTTGTGATTTTCAAACCCCCTCATACAGGAGTAAAGCCACCAGGACCAGAGCAGGGAAGTTCATTACATCAAATAGGAAGCTGGTGGATACCTCGAGCTCCTCTGCATGCAGCCCCAGATTAGAGGCTTGGTGTAGCTTTGCATTATCTTGCTGCACTTGGTGAGGGAACTCATGATGGCCTTGTCCAAGGAGGGCAAGGATGATGCCAGTGCCGTGAGTTGCGCCCTCCCACATCTATGGGGAGAATTGCTGACCTTCTAGAGCCTCCTGGATTTGGGAGCATTCCTCCATTAGAGAATTACACCCGCTTGGTGTGGGCCAGGACACTGAGACTGATGGTTTCTCAGGCACACCTGAAACCTTGGGGCAGCCTTAGATGGTTGAATGAACCTGCATGGGTTCCAGTGGTACCAGGATACCCGCCATTTCTCTGTGGCCATATGGGAAGGCACAGTGCTGAAGATGAGGATGGCACTGTTGGCACTGGCACCTCAGCCAGTGGCAAGGAGCCCTGCTCAGTACCAGCTTTCTAGGCCACACATTCACTGTGCAGAGACCAGGAGCAGGAAGGTCTCTCTCTGACTCCTACACAGTGGTGAATACTGATAGCACAGGAGGATCTCTCTGAGGGTACGTCTAGACTACATGCCTCTGGCGACATAATGTTGACTGCGGAACATCCAGACTACCGCACTGAGCCGACAAACAGCTGATTGGCTCAGCGCGGCAGCCATGTAAATTTAAATGAAGCGGCGATTATTTAAATCACCGCTTCCTTTTTCTATGCCTGGTAGTCTAATCTACAAGCCTCTGTCGCCAGAGGCATGTAGTCTAGACGTACCCTGAGTGAAGTGAGTCTCTGCCATGGGATCTCAGAGATCACTGGGGGGAGGCAGACCGATGCCTGTCATCACTTGCTGGGTACCAGGACCACTGCACAGGACTGGGAGCTAGAGCAAGTGTAGCAGCCCAAGGACTGTTGAGACCATGACAATCTGCTTGATGGGGGGCTGGTATTGGCGTAACTGTTCGCCTCATTGGTCCCAAGAGCAGTACTGAGGTCTCTGAGATGCAGGGGGTTTGTCCTGATGCCCAAGCCTGCAGATATATGCCTTGACTGGTCTGCACCACAGTTCTAAAGAGCATCACCCCATCTCCTGCCCTTAGCACCCAGAAGTGGGGGAACTTAAAGGGCATTCACAAAGCCTGCCTCCCCATGTCCAAGGTCTGAAGGCTTTTCATGGGACAGCACTGGCGGGATGGTCCCTTAGACAGTGAATGAGGCCCTGGAGGAGACCCTGAAAAAAGCCAAACTTGGGCTTGCCCAAGGACCATAATGCCACCAATGTAAGTGCCACTGGCACCAGTAAGGTCTGTATATCCTGTTCCACCCGCAAGACCTCCAGGGTTAATGGCACCTGCAGCTGGGTCTCTCTACTTGAGGTTGGGCCCTGATTCCCAGATGAAGTTGATGAGCTATCCATCATGGGTATTAGCTCTCTTCCCAACTTGTCCTTTCCCTTACAGGATATTGGAGTTCATCCCCTCACTGATGCCTTCTTGATTGGAGCAGATTAGGGGTAACAGTGCCAGTGTGAAGATGGTAATCCTGGAGCACTGCACACCAATGCCATGGTGCTCAAAGCTGAGGCTGTCCTCTGCTCTAGTGCTGGACTTAGTGCTGACTCTATTAGAAGAGCCCTAAGTTAAATGTCTCTCTCTCTGTTTGTCTGTTGAGACAACTACAAACTATTACTAAAACTATAACGCTAAGTAATAAAAGCTATGTAGAAACGTATACAAGAAAAGTACTGCATTCACAAAATGAGTGGAGAACAAAACTGGCCAAGGCCATAGCAGTTCTGTTGTACTATCACTGGTGGCAAGAAGGAAGGAAGAGTGGGGGAAGCGTGCAGTCCCCCTTATACAGACCCACGAGAGTACCACTCCAGGGATTGCTAGAGTCATTCCCCTATGGATACTACTCAGGGACAATCTTCCTGAACTCCTGCATGCAGAAAATACACACATCTAATGTGGATGGACATGAACAGTCACTCAAAGAACATGGAGTACCGGGGGCAGAAAAGGTTCTCCATCAGAAGCAGTTACTTTCAAGTGGTGGCAGGCAAGAGGGAAAGGAGGCAGAAAGGGCTTTACCCTAGGGCAGTAGTCTCCAACCTTTTTACACCTAAGATCACTTTTTAAATCTCAGAACAGGCAAAGATCTACCGCCCCGCCCCTTCCTTGAAGCCCCGCCCTCTCTATTCTCCTCCTGTCCATCACTTGCTATCCCCAGCCCTTACTTACACACTCTGATAAACAGTTTATTTTTAAATTATGCGATACATACAATTAAAATCACGTGTTTATAGTTATGAAATAAATGGTCTGTTTTTTATTCATGCTATTTAAATCTAAAATGAAGCATTTATAATTATACATTTTGTGGGGACAGAGTACTGCGGCTGGGGGTAGGGGAGAGGGAACAGGGTGCTGGGAGGGCAGAGGACAGGTTTCTGCAGCAGGGGACAGAGTGCCAGTGGGGACAGAGTTCGGGGAGTGGGGATGGGAATAGGGACAGAGTTCTGTAGCTGGGGACAGGAGAGTGGGGACCGAGTTCGAGGAGTGGGGACAGAGTTTGGAAGTGGGGACGGGAATAGGGACAGAGTTCTGTGGCTGGAGCCAGAGGGGTGGGGACAGGATTCTGTGGCGCCGGGGGGG